ATGTATATTTCTCCACACTCTCGCTAGGAATGCAGATGGTTCTTGACAAGAACCATTTTGGAATGTCTTGGAGTGAGAGGATACAAATGGAGTAGGTCTTCTTACATCGCTCATGTTTTTCTCCCACTCAGCCAAGGTGTTGGATCCTCCTTGTTTCTTGCTCACCATGGTCTTCCATTCCTCCCTTCCAGATGGAGAAAAGAATACAGACCAAGAAAATGGACTAAGAGTTGTCAAGATTTCAATCAGGTGACCAAAGTACATTCTACTTTGTGAAACCTTGACCTTAACTTACTTTATCCTATCAGGGTTCACAGTCTCAAGACCCCAAAAATTTCAAAGACTTTTAATCACTTTTTGGTCCATTTTCATAGCCTTTTTTATGACTTCTATTATCAGTAATAACTATCTGTGATTCGCAGATCGGCACGCTTAACACAAACTATTGGAGTGTCTTGAAAACGCAATACAATTACAAAACACAAGATGCAAAAGATGAAAATTCAACGACTTGATTCACTTTTCTACAAACATTAAATGATTTTTCCAGGAATTTCAAGACCACAATAAAGTTTAAAGATTTTTAAGGAACCTAATGACCGTTAAGGACCCTGTCCTATGGACAGAGTGTCTCAAATAAGCCATCTTTAACTTTATCCTTTCAGCCAAAAAAATGTCAAAAGCAAATACATCATTCATTTATGCGTTGCATTAAAACAAACATAGCTTCCCTGGGCATGAGGTCCATTGGCCTATCGGCAAGCATGGGCTTGCCGATACATGTACATGTACACTCTTCCAGTGTACCTTTCGTCCACATGCAATCTCACATGTACATGTACCACTAACTCCCATGTGCAATACTGTTGAGTTTGCCCTATCAGTGAGCGGATACTCACCATGTTGGCCTGGGTCTACTCAGGTAATCCCTGATGGAGGGTCCTGATTGCTGGATGGGCCCTGCAGCTCTGGCTGCTGCAATGGGGTTTATGTAAGCCTGCCAAGAAATATGAACACATGAAGGGGTTAACATAGCATGCCCATGAGCACAAGGTGGCCCTAACTTTTTTCAAAGTTGTCAGACAGATTTTTGTTAACACCGCACATACCACATACGTAAACGTACATGTAACTACAGGGGGGTAACTTACATATATACTAGCAGAGGTAGAGATACATGTACAGTCAACAGGGGTCACTATCAAAATACTGAATTACATCCAGTCTGGGCAAATTTGGTGGGCTTGCCTCAGAAACTTGGAGTTTACGGGTAACTGTCATGCTTGAATTACATAACAGAGCACTGCATTGTCTCTGAGCTGTGACGTGTGCCTCTACTGTTGATATAAACATCACTTTATGACACCCTGTGCACAAACCCTATGAGTTGATGAGACTGGTCTTGAAAATAACTGTTTTCTCAGTAAATGCTTCAAGTTCCATTTTCATTGCTAAAATTGACTTTAAAGTATGTAAACGGCTGCTACAAATAGAAGTGGTCGTGATCATTGTATTTTTATTTGGATATTGATATTTGTTCGTTTACAAACTGTACAATGCACTCGCTGAATGTGCATGTATGTGTCATTTTGTCATACAGTAAAATATCTGAAAGGCATCCAAACACTAACATGGGAACCACCCTTAAAAGCCATTGACATGCATGTACTTCAGAAAAGTTGATGCCTGCTCAGTGGCACATGACCCATGACCTTTATTTAGTGACATACATGTACAGTGGAAATGTGCCAGCATTCAAGTGACATCGTTCTGGAATATGTCTTGAAATTTCAGGACAAGGAAACAGCAAAAGGTACCAAAATTAATTTTGGGGCAGAAATTAACTTTCTCAACATACACCATATTGTATGTCAAGCTCTGAAAAAATGTATAAAGTCGTTTTCGGGGGACCCTATTAAAAGGGACTCTCCACACATAAAGCGTATGGTCTCATGCAGCTCACTATACTGTGTTCATTACCATTAGCACCCTGTTCCTATAATAAGGAAACGAAGTTTACCTTTTTGAAAAAACACACCTAAATAAGTTGCCGGTGGTGTCCTCTTCCATATCAGAAAGAAAAGACGGAAGGGCTTTGATTTTTGAGGGAATTTATGGGGTAAAACGGCAGTGTAAATGATGCAACAAAGAGCTGTGAATGAAGACAAATCAGCGCATGTAGTATGGTTCCTTGACCTGGAACCATAAAAGTTTCTTTAACCCTCCTATGCTGAAGTCACTCTTTGGGTCACTTGGTAAACACCTCAAAGAAGCACAACTGTGTTGTGTTGTGCACTGCACCAACATGCAAGAGAGTGACCTCGGGCACTTGTGCATACTTGTGCTGTAAAACTAAAGGAGAGTTAATGAAATTCGGTATACCCACAATGGCTGAGTCGGGTAAACAGACGTGAAACAAAATGGCGTGATGCAGTTGTCTTTTGCTGAACTTGGGGAAAAAAATTCTGGTTTTCCTGCTTAAACATTGTCAAAATTTACCAAAACTAGAGCTACTAGGATTAACGTATGGATCCTCAAGGTCTGAATGTCAGTTAATTTATTATAGGAACAGGCTGCTAATGTAATGGTAATGAACACCCACTACACGGACATGACTGAGGTACTTCTAGTCCAGTATGGAGCAGCGTGGACATAGGCGTTTCACAAAATGGCAGGTAGCAACCACACCGCACCAGTGAAAACTGCAACGAGCACCCATGTATATACTGATCAAAGAAAAGATTGTGTAACCCAATCCTCTGACTGGTTGGTACGCGCATATGTCACCATGGTGGCTGTTTTCATTGGGGCAGTACCGGTACCTGCCAATGCCATTTTGCGAGAGTCCCAGATGTCCGCCGTGCCCGTTATGAGCCACATTGTGGGGCTAGGTTCGAGCTATTTTGAGTGGAATGAATTAATGGACATGATGATGGAAGCAAAAGTACATGTATATGGAAGGTAGGCCTACATGTACTTGGACTCTGCTATCGTCTGACCATGTCAGAATGTTAAAAAAGGCGATTTGTAGAGCTCAAGTTACTCAGACAATGTTAGACATGTTGGAGTTGGACTATACTCGCACGGGGTGCTAAAATCAACATGATGTAGGCCTAAGCCTTATCCTTATTATTGCCGATACCGCATAGGTGAATTTGCACAATAAGCCTCATCGCAAATACTGCATGAGTGATTTTGCATAATGGTAGAAAGGCATTGCGGGAAGGAAAAAGGGGCTCCTTTTCCTTCCCACAATGCCTTTCTACCATTATGCAAAATCACTCATGCAAGGCTAAAGTAAAGTTATGGCGACAGAATGGGAAATTGGCTTTTTGACTGATTGATGATGTAGGCCTTCTAATAGTAATATCATAGAGCAAGGAACAGTATGCTAATATGTAGGCACTGCCCAGGCTACACAGTACATGAAGCCCAAGGAATTGAATATCATGCATGTCATGCTTACAACTCTTGTGTCCCGTTTACCCATAGGCACGGCCCCTACTCGTTCTTCATTCCACTACGAAACGATTTTAAGACGAATTCTCACGGACACTGACAAACTTCCAAGTCGTTTGCGGTGTATGTTGGGTGCAAAATCATTGAAGGGCACCCTCTGTTGAGGCTATTTTGCCCATTCTGCCATACTCATCCCCAGAGCATTGGGATGGGCACAAGAACGCGGCATTTGAGGGTGCACTGAACCAATTCAAGCTCCATTGAAAATTGTGTAAAATCAACCAAGTTTGGAGCCCCATGGCAGGCAACTGAAATTCCTGAGGCCTCTCAAACAAAAAACAATGTGTTGTTTGGTCCTTCAGATTTCATTTGATCTTCAATTTTTAGTAGTTTAACCAATGAATTTTTTAATTATTCGCCCAAAACAAACTCACCCCCAAAAAGTGAATGTTGCCAAGTCTTCCCAGCGGCCATTTTTCAAATGACATCCCTCACCATCAGCGGACTCTTCTGACTAATTTTCAATCCCACTTTTGTCTACTTTACCCCCGAATGGGTGCCCCTGAATCTACAGAAATAATCCTGGGCCATACCGACACAATCCCGCCATTTCTTGGCCCAAACAGACCCCTCTTTTTGAAACAATCTCTGCGGGGTACTTTTTGTTCGCTCGGCCTGGCGGAGAATTTTCCTTGAATTGGGACACTGCACCCTTGAACCAAGTTTTTATGAATATCGACAACCTCGTTCTCAAATGATTCAATTTTTGCCGATTTACAACACTGATTTCTTACCGTAGTACAGTGGAGTACAGTACCCTACAATGGTTCTTCGCTTGTCGCGAGGCGCCGGAACAGGGCGGGGGATGATTAAGTTCCATTTAGCCAATTTAGTGCTTTGGCACTAACCATAGTGCCGGTCAGTATATATCGGCACCAGCCTTTTTTGTGTCTTTTGTTTTTCAAATTATTCCATTCAATCAATTATGTACTTTTCTATGAGAGGATACTACACTTCAAACACAATGGAAGATTCCTTTAAAAAAACCCTATATCATAAAAACATGGCCTTATGGTAGACCTACAATCACGGTAATTTTATCTTCCAAGTACATCACTGATCATGTGTCTTTTGGCAATATATTTCAAATCATTGGTTATCTTGATCAATTCTCGATGATCTAATAAAGTGTAGTGAGAATATTCTCAGCAGTGAGAAAGAAACACAAAAACGTCGAATTGATAATCGCCACACTGAACGAACTCACGCGTCTGGCAAAAGTTTACCAACGATGCTCTGCGCGTCGTTAGCTGTGACCCTGTGTGACGTATTTCCTGCACTAAAATCTGAGCAAGGCCATCACCCCCCCGCTGGGCGACGAGCGAACATTGGTTCCCACTGTGCATGTACCTTGCATTATCTTGACTGTTTTTTTCTGCCGGGAGGAGGGGATTTTAATATGGAATTATCGGAAACGACTGAAAGTAAAGTAACTGCTGGGACGAAGTAGAAACGGAAATTACTAGAGTTTTTAGCTTTCTACAAAAGCCCAGTTGTGTCACCAAGTATATTATTCTCAAAAAGTGAAGTATTTTTTGAAGACTTTTGTTTTTAATGAAGTATCTTGAAGTTTGTTTATAACATTTATATTTCCAAAGTTCGTTTGTTGGAGATATGTAAAAGGCAGGAATCGAACTTCAGGAAAGCACTGGAGACAATAACCTTGATGCCTCACCTACCTCTGGTCTTTTCCTCAATGCCCATTGAAATATCCCCATAGACAAGTTGATTTTGGAATACAAGTCCCCTTAGCAAATGAGAAATTGTCTTGCCCTTACAAGAACGAAATCCCTGCCCTGTATACATGTATACGTACCCAAGTTCGTTCTCATGAATCTTTATTTAAAAACATTGTATATTTTTGAGGAATACATCATTTTTATGAGATACATTTTGTCCACGTTCGTTTTTATGAGATAAATTTAATACTATAGTATAGGATCCTAGTATAACTCTAATATAACATTACAGTTTCGTAGTGTATGCCATTTTGTTACAATTCTTGTCGACTATATTCGGAGTCCTCGTCGATACTGAAATGTGCTGCATGGAATATTGTACCTGAGGCAACACTGAGACACTTGAACAAAGAAATGAAGGGAGTTGAAAAAGGTGGCAATCCAACCATTTGAATGCCTTCAGCCCTCCAAAATAAGCCTGTGTCTACATCAGTGGTGAGTTCTATAAGTGTTGATATTGTGCTTTACATGGAGAATGCCGCCCCCTCTATCTCTACTCCACTGTCATTTTCCATCTGATAGATCTCCCTCACCAAGCGAGACCTTTCTATCGCGTCTCTCTACAAACCCTTGACATAGTTCGTGTTTCATGTGCGCAAAATTCATCAGCTGCATGTGTCAGAGTGTAAAAAATTATTATTCACTTACAATGGACTGGTTCCCTGTAGGTATGAAGCAAAAAATCGGGGGACGTTTGGAATAGCGATGCATGTGTGGGGACATCTGAAAAGAGAAGCAATATAACACCTCTCTCTCTTCGCAAAAATTGACAACCATGCCCTAGAAGCAACGGAATAGGTCGGCTAGTTCCGTAAATTTTGGAAACTCAATTGGCCGCGTGACCATGGTGCGCCTGCCAGACCTAAGTGTCTCTCCAAATATATCGTATCTTTTGCTCTGGGAACCAGACCATCATACTGCTTCATCCTGACCATGACCAACAAACACGCCGATTTTCTATTGAAGCCTGAAACATGGCAAAGGTCTCCTTCAATTCACAACCCTGTTGAAACGACTCTTTGCAGTTTTATTGGGGGCCATGCAATGATCTTTCTGACTTACACATTTAATGCAGTTTTTACTCTCTTTAAAGCAGTGGAAACTGTATTATTTGACATTGTGGCTGATTTTGTGGAAAAATTATTTTCTTAAAAGCACGTATTAAAAAATCCAAACGTTTCCGGACAACCACAGGATGTGCAAGCCCGCAGGAACGAGGGATGCTGTGGGTGCTGAAGCACCCTGACCCTTTTCGGACCGGGGTGCTGGTGTACAAAATAGCACCCCCAACTTTGATTACGTTAAGCCACATAATCAAACTCACCAATGCCAAGGGATCCCCCCAAATCCTAGATATTTATGATTTTACAACATCAGCACCCCCAAACAAATGTGCTCCCGCGGGCATGAGGATGTGTTGCTGTAATTCTGGAAAGATATTGCTCATTTTAAGGATTTTCTCTTCGACTCGTATAGATTTGTTTATCGATTTTTGGGGTGAGAACAGGTTGCCTCACTGGCATATAAATATGTGCTTGATTGGCAATAACTTACTAAGTAAAAGAAAACCTACTAGAAGACATCCATAAATTCTAGTACCCTTTGTGTAGAATAGATGGAACATTGAGGTTTCGGTTGAAACTGCAGTTTAGCATAAACAGCTAAGCAAGGCTCACCCACATGCTCCCGTAAAAAGGCCAAACAGTTATTGAAAGTTTAAATGGGACACAATAACTTTTAAGGACTACATCATAAAACACACAGGCCCTTTAAACATGCAACTTTACTTCGAAAAATATTGCAGCGTACACAAAGTGAGGAAAATAAATTGCCTTATAGTTACAAAAATAACTAGATCTTTTCAGTTACCATTACAAGAATTTTTCGTAATTTCTATCAGAGTAATCCCAATCAAAACGCCTTCTGAAAAGGTTTGTCCTGCTCATGACATACACAAACACGCTACACTACGAGTAGGGACTTTTGTAATTTCTGATATTCTCACCCAAACCCACTGAATACCCTCTTATAAAAGTGACGACCCCCAATAAAGTGCCCTCGCTGACTCTGACAAAAAACTTTGCTACTCCTAATACATGGTGTAGGTTTGCAACTCAAAATTGGCCCAGTGGTTATTTTCGTTATGAACTCGAGAAAGACAGACGACATTACTTTTTACCCTGCTCGAAAACATTTGATGATTTGCCGAATTCACAGAAAAGGCGTCTATTGAACAGAGTTCGAAACAGTAAATAAGGAGCAAATGTGAATGAAACAGACAATCATTCATTTAAAACCATCCTTTTCTCGGCACACTATTTTATAACATCGATGCCGCTCACAGGAATTTTTTTCGCACGCATTCGTGGAATGTTTCTTTGAATTTTTAAATAAAAACACTCCCTACAAGACTTCAAACAAGTGCTGCTTTGTCGTGTTCAGTTGTTAATTCACATCACAGGCACCTCATAATTATCTGCAATCATTTAAAATTGTTGAAATTTACCTCTGCATGTTTCCTTTTCTGTTTATTTAAGCTTATATTAACAAGCTTTTAAAAAAAATAACAACGAACACATTACCGATATCCACTGCGTTTTCTATGATAAACAGAATGAAAAGATCAAAATGAACGAAAAGATTTCAACTACAAAACCTTAACTAGATTGAAATGAACTGTTTCAGAATGTTGATAGATCCTGAAGAGCTTTCGAAAATATCCAAGATCGGAAATTAATGAAGGCCACTTGACTATTAGCAAGAGCTGTAGATCAGAGGGTTTTAATACACCCTCCACAGGTCAAACAAGAAGAACATGTGATCGAAACTTGCAGCGACGCTGCTAGGAAAAAAAAATGGTAAGCCTGTTATCAACTCCTTGCAAAATGTTAGTTTTTTGAGGGGGTGACAGGTACTTGTCGAATAAAATCTTTCCAATTATTTGACTCCCTCCCCAAAACGACTCACAACCACCCCATTTAAAAAAAACAAAGGAAAAGTAAACAAATTAAGCAAGGATACTTCTTCTACTATAGCTAATCGGATATGCATTATACTCATACACTGGTTGCATCTGATTGCTACGAAAGCTGATGAGGTTCTTTTGATTTCAGAGTACTACCTTTATTTCCATTATACTCAGCATGTATATGAACAAAGCATTAAAATACAAACAAGACGCGTCATTTTGCTCCTGTGAAACTGAAAATTTCATTTTTGCCTAGTCAAGCTTTGTTATATGCCACTACCCAAAAATCACACAAAAAAGCATACTAGCCTGAGACGTGATATGTTAGTGTAAAAATCGACTGGTTGTAATCCTATACAAATGGTCTTCATCGGCTTAGGAAACTTCATTATCTACTGCCTGATGTGAGGTATATGCCTGCAGCAATAAATAGGCTGCCTCTGAATCTGTTTTGAGCTAGGTTTAGGTCTCTGCCTTTTGGAAATAAGCCGTGATGCTCTAACAAAAGACGTATAATTTTCGTGGTACAGGAAGGCCGTTTCGGACACGGTCTTAGCTCACGTTGAAAAAGGCCACGTTCGCTTTTCCCCGCCAGGCGCTGCACAGACGCGCATGCGCAGATAGCTATCAATTAGCAGTGAAAGGGTCCATAGTCGGTTCGCTCTTCAGAAGTAGAATGTTTCCTGCAAAAAAACAAACATATTCATCAAATACTGTTGCGATCTCCAGTCACTTGAGTAAAATAACTGTTTAACTCTCGTGACTGCACCGACTTACTTACTGTCGAGTTGATAGTTTCTGCCAATACAAGTTGCGCCTGGATCCGCTCTAAAATTGTGGTAACAGGCCTTGAAAATTGTTTATTAAAACATGACGGGCAGGGTCCCAATCTCTCCTTACCATTTTATCTCTGTTCGATACTTCTGATGTGGTCGGATCTGGCTCAGTAGGATCCAATGCTTTGGATGGAGTGTATTCGTTTTCCATTGCCAACCGGACAATGGGAGCGTCAACAGTATATTTGGATACCTAATAAAGATAAAAAAGTAATGAGCAATGACAGTCAAATTTTAGGCATCATGTGTGTATAACGGAGCTTTTGAAGTCGATACTCAACAAAGATGATCACACGGACCTCATCTGCATCAACTTCTTAGTGGTAATTTCTAAAATAATAATTTATGTTCCCAACATAAACAAATCGCAAGACCTCTTAAAGTGTTCATTTTATTTGACATGCAAATCGATAAAATCTAATCCGAACGTACAAAAACCGGGGGGCGGGGGAGTTTGGCAGTATAATCATGTGCTGCTAGATTCGTCACTCCGAATACAAGTGCAGCAGGTAAGAGTACCGGGAATCGAATAATCGGAATCGAGTAATTTAATGAATAGGAGTGAGAGTGTTTCCATAAGAAAAAAAAAGAAAATAAAATGTGATTGCCATACGCTGCAATACGACAACAAAATTAACAAGTATAGGTGTGGTTCCAGTCCACAGTAGATGGATCAATAAAAATTTGAGGGTCTGAAATCCCAGAATTGTTGTCATGGGTAATGATTAAACAGAGGAGGTGAAGAAAGTCCTACCTTCTTTTGGGCGCCTTCGTCATCGTCTACCTCCATATATACGTGCTCCTGTTTTTCCCCCTGTCTTCCTAGAGAGGTTTGGCCGTCGACTTCGTCAGAAAGTACCTACAATCCATGAACAAGGGTAGTGCGTTTACCTAAGTGACTGCAGTCTAAATGGTGAGCATGACTGTTCGAATCAAATGTACGAAACAAATAGACTCTGCAAACCCAAAACGTCATGAATTCAGGTGAAAACCTGTCCCTATCATACCCCAGACTGACCGTTGATCGCAGTGACCCGTTTATTTTTTTCTAATTTCCCCCGGGAAGAAGACAAAGGCGCTCAACTTGACGATAATCTTTCAAAATATACATCGGTTGGGAAAAGCGTGATGGATTTGCCCTAGATGTAATTATTAAGTTTCCATAACACGGTGGAATTGCATTCTTGGTATCCGCTGTAATTGTGATACACCCATCGCAATATTATTTTAAAAAACGAAAGATGGACCAAACAATTTCTCTTCGTCAATCAACAGCTAGCTTCCATTTAGGATATTTGCACAAACAGATTTACTCAGTTTGTTGAGCACGTCAATAAAAGGAATACAGCCCTATAGCTAACCGTACATTTGTAATTGTGTAAATGTGTAACTTTTATAAGCTGGACGCTGTGCCCTCCCCATGGATCTTACATTGAGGCTGTGACACTGCACCGTATTCAAGCTATATCCATCTTCCGAATCTAATATGTAGCTGTTGCGACGTAATGACGAGGTCCTGGAAGAGGAGAAGAACAAACTCTGCATGAGCTTGTCTCTAAGAAATCATTCAACAATTTGCTACCAGCGTACGCATGGGCGTCGAAAGGGTTGGCAGAGGGCACCCCCCCGCCAGAAAATAAAGCGGTAAAAGCGAAAGAAGTGAAAAAAGAGATGAAAGAGTATGGAAATCACAAATTTTTGAAAACCTCAAAAACTGACAATATACCTACACTATTATTTTATCTTTTTTTTCGCTGATGAATGCTTTGGCCCCCACCCTGAAAAAATGGCTACCCCGAAAAACTTCTGGTGACGCCCATTGCAAAGGAGATTACCAAATGCTTATTTTTACATCAACAGCAACAAAGGATATTCGTTGAGAAGGAAAGTTAGTTTACTTGGCGTTTATTACAGATTATTTCTCACATGCTTTTGGTCCTTGTCCGATAGAAACAGACGCCAGTCACTATCAGAATGACGAGCACGACTGACCCCACACAAACCCCGACAATTAACCCGATTTTGCTGATGAAACCGTCGCATCTCTCGCCGGTGTACCATGCCACTGAGGTTTCCAGGCAGCGGCAGACCGGGTTAGCCTTGTCGTCCTGGCTGCATTCCCCGTTGTCGTTGCAGTAGTCCACGGCGCGCTTGCACGGCGACCGGCACTCGACGTATCCCCCCACGCACTGCAGCTCCAGGTAAGGGTTCTCGCACCTCGCAAAACCATCGTCGATGTAATCGCAAAAGTTAGTTGTATCTGGTTAATTTGAAACCGGAAAGTAGTCTGAGCAAGATAACACCTTTGCGATAAAGAACAACAATTTCATGAAGTCGCAGTGACAGTAACGATGTTGTATAAATGCATGGGTCCAACAAGGAAAGGGGCAGGGCAAACGTGCAGAACGAGGTTAGTGGGGCAAGCTGAATTTCTTTTTGTGCCAGTTTTCGTCGTTCAGCAAAATTGAGAAAGGTGCCTTCACCTGTCAAAGTTTGATAAACTGTTTCTTTTAGAAGCCAAAAATGACTTGTCAAGTCATTCGAGTCACAATATTATTCATTTGACCAAACCTATCTTTCCGGAAGGCTTTTAATGAATGTTAGAATAATGGAATTGTTGGCCTGTAAATTGCATTTATTCCGAGGTTTTCTATTTGCCCTGTTTAGGATTAATCTAAAAAATGCACACCAATTCTTCGTTCCGCTATCAAATTATTTGGCGCATTGTGGACGGCAAAAGGCCGGTGTGTCCTTACCTTCTGGGTTGCTCCAGCTTTCCACAGCAAGATCGCCCAGTTTGCCGTCCTCCAGAGCCGGTTTCAATGTCCGATCAAATACGGCATTGGCAGACAGATCGCGGTCCTCGGGTCTCATGACATTGTAGTTGTACACGGCATCGTGGGAGACGACCACGCTTCCTTTTCTGTCGGAAAATAAAATGGTTTCTGTGTGAACAAAACAGATAACAACCTGGCCGTTTTCCTTAAACATTGACCGACAGAATCAACATGTTTGAAATGCTTGAAACTAGATATTACTATTATTCTTTTGTTGTTTCTTTTGATTTACAACCTGTATTTTCAGGAACTGAATCATGTGACATACTTATTTTGAGGAGGTACTGTTAATCTGCATCAGCTATACAGGTTAATTAGGAATGTTAAAATTCAGTTCAATAAACCTGGGCAATTAAAGTTTCTTATAATGTTTACCAAAACAATTTGAGTTCATTAGTGTATATTATTATGTACGGTACTACGCATTAGCCAAACCGATATTAAACACACTGCCAAAAATACTCTGGCATAAATTTTAATAAATTTCATGTTGTTTTGTATCACAATCCTACAGGCTTCAGAGTACACAGTTTGCCAACTCCTGACAAGCCAATACTAAAGATCAAATCGAAAATGAAACTCGGACAGTGACGTCAGTTTCAAAATAATTTTCTGTGATTAAATTTGCGGTATCCATATGAATGTGGATTTCAGTGACCTTCAATAAATACTACACATTCCTCACTATCCCATAATCAGGTATGTGAAAAACAGTTATGTGAAAGAAATTTTCTTTTCAATTATTGGAAAAAGGAAAAAAAAGGGATTTCGGAGTGTGATTCACGTCGTCTAATCAGTAACTGGCTAGGTGACGCCCTTTTCAGAATTTTTCGTGGCACAAAGTCAGGCACTGTGTGGAAAGATTGCAGAAAATATGCCGAAATAGCGCAAAACGTCCAAGCTTGTCGTGACGTGGCAAGCATGGCAAGTGCCCAAGTGGTGACGTTCCATCCGATATGCAGACAAGTAAACATAATGAAATTACATTATGTCGGCAACCTATACCATCGTAATGTCGTTACCCAGTGAAAAGCTATCTTCGGACTTTGACATCATGCCCGTAAAGTTTCGTCAGTAGTGCTGAGCGGAAGTATAGGCAGTGTCTCCACCTTTTTGTACACGATCCACAGGGATTGTGGGGTCGGGGGAAGGAGGATTCGTGAGAATCCACGAGGAGCAGGATATGGAGGGCCATCAGTAGATATGAGGATTACTAGGAATTCTGTCAGAGTGCCGATATTTATCAAAGAGTTTGTTAATGATTTATCTTTCTGAACGCCAGAGATTCAAATATAATATGGGCTTGATACATAAGATGATTTGAGTTAAACCTTGCAGATTCATTTTACTGTTTTTACTTAAGGAATCCATACAATGAAGTTTCTTAGAATCACGTTTTTGTTCATGGTAAAATCTTCTTCATTGTACGGCACACCTCGTTCCTCTTTAAGTTTGGAAAAGAAATTGCTTCTCTAATGTAACGTTAACCGGTTTACTTTCATGTTGTCCAGACAAACATGTCTTTCCACCTTGAAAATCACTTAGCCGTCAGAGGATTTAGGGGAAAAAAGAAGTGACATAACTGACCTGATTTCCCGAATATCAACCCGTAGAAATCCCTGGATCTTCCTGTAGCGCACCTCAGTCTACCATCAGAATTGTACATTCAAACGAGGAAAAAATAACCATTTTATAGAATAACGGTCCATTGAACAGATATATTATATATAGCACAGGAGCAAGTCTAAAAAAATCAGCACAATTTTACACATTATATAACATCAGTGTAACAACAAGAGTTCAATTGATGTCTATTCACTGTCTGTCTGTACACAAAATGCATCAACAGGACTGAATGCAAAATGAAATGAACACTTATTGCTTATATGCTGCTTGCACATCTCGTACTTATGCTATATTTGTCCTAAAATGTTTTGGAGCAGACGAAATAAATGCAGTGTCCCATCAAGTCACAACGGTGTACTGACAGTAAAAGTCGCAAGGATTCTCATTCTGTAGGGTTGCGATCAGTTGGGATCTTTGCTGATTAAACCTTTCTAAATTCATCTGAGAATTTTTTGGCACTGTCTCGGAACGTAATATTGGAAAGTTGGAAAATATAAACACGACTACGATCTTTTACATGGACGTAATTACAAGCACCACAATGAACTTAATGAAGGAGATTTGAAATGCAATTACATGTGTTGGCTAGATGTAGATTTTCCACGAAAAGAAATTTCCTGCTCTTGTAACAATATCAGGAAACGCTTTTGGGATAATCGAAAATTGGCCGAGTACTTTCAACTTGCAACATGATTGGGAACAATTTGATTATTTGGAGCTCAGTGTTAGTAGTGCACGACTGAAATCACGATGGCTTTGGTTGATTTGCAGACTAACGCACATGTTTTGTTCTATTATAGGTTTCATCGTATTTGGTACACAGCATACAGCGAGGCACAATTCCCTGCTTAGCATTATTTTTGTAGCCGACTTCCCCAAACTGATTTACACTATTATATTTTACTGTATTTCAATTATGTCGGAAGATTTGTCTTAAATTAGCTAAGCCCCGCAGACTGTAAGGTGTTACCACTAGTTTCAATCTGTGATAAATCGTTTGTTGTCATTATTGCTTTTGCTGGTAACCGAGATAAGTTGGTACTCCTGCCATTGCAAAGAGATAATGCTGCACATTTCCTATTGTCGCTATTGGAATTTGACAATTGTCGTTAGTCTTGCTTCCTTGTACTGTATACAACTGTGATGTCGCATTTAAGGTTAAAGTATGTGTACAATGGTACTGAATACTTACGCTAGTTTTGAATGTGTCTATGAAATCCTTGCATGGCTCGGACGTCGAATTGACATCTGGTCGACAGTCTGTCGAATCTTCTGTTATGGCTACCTCAACAGAGATCACTTTCTCTGGATTCTCTGAAACCAATCAGTAATTTTGTTAGTGGCACAACTACAGGGGCATTGTGGAGACAAGGAGGTGCTTGAGAAGCCCTGCTAAGGGGCAAATGGACCCTATCATATACACAGCAAAATTGCGTTCTTTGTTAGAAGGTACAGCGATTAAAGTCATGAGAAGCTGAGAGACCAACTACGACTTCCGCGGTAACGGTAAAATCATAATCTGTGACTGAACGGGGACCTGCAATCCCCTTATTCCCCGACTCATCCCGTAAGATGCATCTCACGTAAACTTGAAACCTAAGATAATTCATTCCGAGCGCAACTTCTGTTCGAGAAAGTTGAAATTGCTATTTACCGACAAATCTTTGCAAGTCAAAGTATTACATAACTAAAGTTATACGTACTGTCGAAAACCGGAAGCTCATCCTTTGGCGTGTTTGGTTCCTCCGTTGGTTTTAAAGGAGGGTTGGTTGTAATAGCTTCTACTGGTGTTGTAAGAGGTCCTGTATTTGTGACAGTAAACGTAGACTGAACCTTTGGCTGCTCTGTCGTTGAGTTGTCTGATGTTTTCGTCGGAACTGTTAGTGGTTCCTCAGATGTTTCAACAGGGGTAGTCTGAACCTCTGGCTGCTGTGTTGTCGAGTCGTCTGACTGTACCGTCGATATTGTTAGTGGTTCCTCAGTTGTTACAACAGGAGTGGTCTGATTCTCCGGCTGCTCTGTCGTCGAGTTGTCTGATGTTTTCGTCGGAACTGTTAGTGGTTCCTCAGTTGTTTCAACAGAGGTAGTCTGAACTTCCGGCTGCTGTGTTGTCGAGTTGTCTGACGGTACCGTTGATATTGTTAGTGGTTCCTCAGTTGTTACAACAGGAGTGGTTTGAGCCTCCGGCTGCTCTGTCGTCGAGTTGTCTGATGTTGTCGTCGGTACTGTAAGTGGTTCCTCAGTTGTTACAACAAGAGTGGTCTGAACTTCCGGCTGCTTTGTCGTTGAGTTGTCTGATGGTACCGTCGGCCCTGGAAAAGGTTCTTCAGTTGTTACAACAGGAGTGGTCTGAACCTCCGACTGCTCTGTTGTGAAGTTGTCTGATGGTACTGTTGGTATTGTTAGTGGTTCCTCAGTTGTTACAACAGGAGTGGTTTGAGCCTCCGGCTGCTCTGTCGTCGAGTTGTCTGATGTTGTCGTTGGTACTGTAAGTGGTTCCTTAGTTGTTACAACAAGAGTGGTCTGAACCTCCGGCTGCTTTGTCGTTGAGTTTTCTGATGGTACCGTCGGTCCTGGAAAAGGTTCCTCGGTTCTTACAACCGAGGAGGTCGGAACCTCCGGCTGCTCTGTTGTCAACTTGACTGATGGTGCCGTCGATCCTGGAAGGGGTTCCTCAGTTGTTACAACAGCAGTTGTTTGAGCCTCCGGCTGCTCTGTTGTCGAGTTGTTTGATGGTTCCGTTGGAATTGTAAGTGGTTCCCCAGTTGTTACAACAAGAGTTGTCTGAACCTCCGGCTGCTTTATCGTTGAGTTGTCAGATGGTACCGTCGGTCCTGGAAAAGGTTCTTCAGTTGTTTCGACCGAGGTGGTCAGAACCTCCGGCGGCTCTGTCGTGGAGTTGTCTGATATTTCCATCAGTGTCGTAGTTGGTTCCTCGGTTATTACAACAAGGGTAGTGCGAGCCTCCCGCCGCTCTGTCGTCCAATTGTCTGATGTTTGCATTGGTAATGTAGGTGGTTCCTCAGTAGTTACAGCAGTTTTGGTCGGCACCTCCGTTTGCTCTGTTGTCCAGTTAATTGATATTCCCATTGGTTTTGTAGTTGGTTCCTCAGTTATTACAATAGGGG